CTTAGGCTTTAGGTTTAGGGTTTTAAGTCTAGGGCTTCGTGGATTACCAAATGTAAAGGAATGATTACTCAGCGCCCCCCAAGCTTGAACTCCCCAACCCCCCCAAGTATTGGATACTCCCTATATATTTTAAACAAGTGAAAGGATGAACTTAACGTGAGGGGAGGGCGCCGGGATTTCATATTAGGGAGTTGATTACAGGGTTGGGAAGCCATTTAGTGGGGTCCACCATATAAACACAAAGCATAGTTGTTTATGGACCCAAAAGTATTGCGGTACCGATGTCTAAGGTTTCATGTACTGGCGCAGCGGTTTTGGTAGATTGGGTCAGGCTGCCGAATTATGGGGGTGTGGCTGTGATATCAGCCCACGCTGTACTAGCCTTAAGGGTTCAGGGTTTCAGGGTTGAGGGTCTAGAGTAAAGGGGGACTCTGGCTACCCCAATCCCCTTGAAAAGGGAACCTGTCCTTCTGACGCTTGTAGCGTCCTTAGTATGAGGGTTGGGTTACCAAGCGTGTTTCTGTGATTAGAGAGATTGCCAAGACAATATTTGAGGTGCTGTTTGAAGCTTGCCAGGGCGAACAAGGATCCATGATTGAAGGCCATTCCACAACCCACCTTCTATGTGAGCTATTGTCAATATTTGCCTTATTAAGGGACCCTTAACGGTAGACACAGAGGTCCATGTTACATTTTACTACAGTCCCCAATATTGTTTCCGATACGGAACCCATGTCCAGTAAATCTCATGTAAACCCTATAAACCTAAAACGGAACCCCCAAACCCTAAATCCCAAACCCATAGAACCGCTATAAACCCTGAATCCTAAACCCAAACAGGTAGCTCATGTGTCAAGAATTCCCGTCATGATGGCGCTACTGTAGAGTGTGCGGAGTTAGGACGCAACGGTTAGACAGCCTGGGAGCAGATCATCAGCCAGGTTTAGGGTTCAGGGGTTTAGGGTTCGGGGGTTAAGGGCTTCAGCGTTCAGGGGTTTAGTGCCGTTGGGGTCAGGAGTTTGGGGTTTAGCCCATTTCTTCCTGGTGAAGCCGTGGATATGCCTCGTACGTGCATCTTCTGTATGATGAGATGACTGACTCAATACAGATGCCACCACAGTTTGGATGTTGGTGCTCCCCTTTCCCAGAAAATATAGTATATAGGGATAGTGGAAAAGAAAATGGAAACTAACATAGTATATTGGGGTTGTTTGGGGATGATGAAAAAGAAAATGGAAGCTACTATGGTAGAATTCCCTTTCCCAGAAGAACCCAAACCCTACAACCCAACGAAGGCAACTTGAAGGAGCGAGACGATAGCAGCAGAAAGTCCCCGCTAGGGTTTGGGGTTTAGGGTCCTGCCAAACTGTCAAACCCTAAAGCCTAAACCTTGGGTACTGCCCCCACCCAGTACCGGTCTATACTAGGGGTCCTATAAAGGGCTATATATAACTATATTATACATATTATCCAACTGTTACTGAGTGGGGGCAGTGCCCAACCTAAACTCTAGACTACAGTCAGTTGTCAAGACTTAGAACTCCTCCATGTGGCGACTTGTGCAAAAAGGCTACTAGGTCTTTCTGGAAGTATTCCACGTACTCGTCCCGGTATCATCCTGACATTTCCTGAGAGGGTCTTTACGCTAAGGTTGAAACCATGGGCCCCAGTATGGGCCCTTAACCCTAGGATCCTCATATACCTATTGCATATCCTTTGTGTACCCTCAAGGGTCCCTAAAATCCCACCAAAACAGGCCAAAAGGCTCATATTAGGGGCCCATGGTTTCAACCGTGGATCTACGGGTTCCCCGAATTTTGAGCAACACGTATGTCGGACGGACGTTCAGGTTTTGTCAAGCTTGGAGTATTCACAATGTACAGAAATTATGTAGGGACTGCACTCTATAGGGACTATATAGGGATTATTTTGCGACTCTATAAGGGTTCTATAGGGACTACATAGGGTTTAGGGTTTTGAACTAGATTTGTTCAAAAAGGTTTGGTGAGTGTATAGCCTTCCTTCACAATAATGGTAAGAGTATAGGTGTGTTTTGTGGTGATACCCGGAAAGTTTAGCCTCAACCCTACACCTACATTATATGATCCGAAGGATCACCCGAGGCTTTGCGAACATCAGAAATGTCTCAGGCGTCTCGATACCATCGCTAGAGCATTAGGCAGACTGTCAGGGAAGATACGCAGACTTTCTCAGAACCGGACCTCCCTAAACCCTAAACCCTGAACCTTTAACCCTGAACCCTAAACCCATATGAACCCTCAACCCTGAGCCCTAAACCTTGAACCCTCAAACCCAGACCCCTAAACCTTAAACCCTCGAACCCAGACCCCTTTCCCTCTGGCAGGGCATCACACTGGTGGACGAGCGCCCTGCCAAGAGTAGGACTGCCTCGGCTTCCGGATTGGGCTGGGTTTAGGGTTTAGGATTTAGGGCTTTCCATAGGCCCTTACTTCATGGCGGGTAAGGTTGCGGGTTTAAGGTTTAGGGTTTAGTTCCCACAGTCTCCCCCTACAATCCCCTGAAGTAGGGCTCTTCAAGAATAAGTCGGGCAAACTTAAGACTAAGAAAGGGGGCCTCAAGGGGGTGATTCAGGCCCTGGACCCTAAACCCTAACCCCTAAAGCCTTAACTCTAAACCCGAAACCCTATATAACTCCGGTCTAACCCAGATATAACCACCCTGAAGCCCAAACCCTAAAGCCCAGACGTTTGCCACAGGACAGAGAGATCCATGTCTTGAAAGCCTAGGGGCTCTGCAAGATTTCAAAGCCCCACGGCTAGGGTTTAGGGGTTTAGGGGTTTAAGGGTGTAGGGTTCAGGGTTTAGGGGTTTAGCGGTTTAGGGTTTTGGATTTTGGATTTAGGGTTTAGGGCTTTGAAGTTAGGATTCAGGGGTTGAAGCCGGTCCTGTCACGCCATGAGAGCCCTCTAAGACTTCTAATCTAAGAGGGATCTTCCCATATATGGATGTTTCCCAAAATTTGGGTCCCATTTTGGCACCAATAAATATTAGGGGCCGTAATATAATCTATAAGCAAAAAAGGGCCCTAATTTTGAGAACAGCCCATATGTTCATATCATATGCTCCGAAGCCGTGCGGTTGAAATGCTACCCCAAACCCTACAACGGGATCCGTTCAAGCCATGCATCTCGCGGGTTGGAAGTGTAGGCAGTCGATTTTTGCAGGGCTGGTCCTAGGGGCGCTAAAGGGTCGTCTCTTGATACTAATTGGTGGCCATCGTTGCGAGCGCAGAATGTAGGCGTCGCGTTTGACCCTCCAAACGTTTGCTCCATGATTTCCTGACAAACCTCATGGAAGCAAATAGTATATCCCACAACCCTATCATAGTTTTTTATCCAACTCATCCTGCAAGTAGTGCAGCTTTCACTACCACCCTTGCATCCGTGCGGGACCAGATTCGCCATTAACGCTAAAGTGAGGATCAAGACTTGCGTTAATACGGCAGTGCAAACAATTTCCGATATAAGCTATAGTCTAAACTCCTTAAAGGGGGTTATGTAGGGAATTGTATTCGGGAGTATTATAATAGAGGTTGTTAAGTTAGATACTAGGAGCTCAGACTATATCTCGCATATTAGCTTATGTATTCAGAGTTTTCTGAGGATTCGATTTTAGGGTTCAGGGTTTGGGGTTTATAGGGTTTACAGGGTGTATAGGGTTTATGGGGTGTATGGGGTTTGTAGGGTTTGTGGGGTGTACAGGGTGTATAGGGTTTATAGTGTTTAGGGTTTAGGATAGTATTGACTTTTGTTTGTTTCGACTTCGGCATGATCCGGCTCCATGCAGGAGACAGCAGACCCTCCTCAGTTCAGCCCATGAAGCCGTGCCACCTGATAGGAGCTATGAGGCTTAACTCCTTAGAGGGGGATAACCCTAAACCCCCCTAGACCCTGGATGATATAGGGGATTATATATGAGGGAGCATAGAAGGGAGTCTTATTATAGGGCAGAATAACAGGAATACTGGTAGTTTCCAAAAATAGGATCCCCTGTATAGAATCCCGCAATACGATCCTTGTGATGGGACCTCCAGAAAGGGACCTCAACTTTTGGAAGCTCCCCGTGTAAACACTAATTATGCCCTAAGACATGCACTTACGATCCGCACTATATCCCCTGAAGCCGAACCCTAAGCACTCAACACCGCAAGCTCAAATCCAAGAGCTTAACCCTCCGCGCAGCCCTAAAGCTTTGACCTTTAATTTCTGACCCACCTCAATACCTCAAGGTATAAGACCCTCAATCGTTCCCTGTTGGGTTCTTGAGTGGGGTTCAAGCACCCTAAACCCTAAACCCCAAACCCCCCAAACCCTAGACCCTAAACCCCCTAAACCCTAAACCCACTAACCCCTAAGCCCTAAACCCTAACCCCTGTAAATCCTGAGCCCCCCAAACCCCCTAAACTCCCTGAACCCAGCACCTCTGCGCAAGCGTGAGCCATGAGCTGCTTGCTTGTAAAGCTTTGCGGGGTGCCGGATGGGCGCCCAAGCTCAAAGGGATTATAGGATTTATTTGGGGATTATATAGGGTGTATATGAGGATTAATTATACGGATTAAGTTATTATTTAGGGATTATGGGGATTATATAGGGTTTATATAGGGACCAAGTTTTAGCATTTTTGTAGGGATTTTATAGTGTTTATATAGGGTATAAGGATTGTTGCCGCGCCAGTTGAGTTATAGTCTAGATAAATACCTTAGGGGGGTTATGGTTTAGGGTCTAAGCTCCTCATTGGGGGGGTATATCTAGTGGATTGTCTGAGGGACTAGTAGAGGTTATTTTGGGGATAGTGCTCGACCTACTGGTAATTAAGGGGGAGTGGGGGATTAAAGATAGGTAACATTTTAGGGCTATTGATGGGGTTGTATCGGGATGATTATAGGCAGCCACTCCTCTCCCTTAAGGGTAAGTCAAAGGATTGTCCCGCGCGGTTGAAGGATTGAGGGCTGGGGGGTTCAGGGGAATTGGGGACCTTTAGGGTCGGATTGTGGATGCAGGCTACCCCTAAACCCTATAACCCTAAACCTCCAAACCCTACACCCCTAAACCCTAACTGCGTGGAGGGGTTGTGGTGTCTAAGGCATGAAGTTTATGCTGGAGCACAAGGTTTAAAGCTTACGGAGTCTATGCTTTTTCGAGCATTTTGGAGGCTTAGTGTTACAGAATTGTACCTAGGGCCTGAGGTGTGTATAAGTTTTCGGTGCTTATAAGTTGTTTTGAGGGCTTAGGATTTTGGGCTTGGGTTGTAAATGGTACCACTTGTAGGCATGAAGCATTAGACAATCAAAAGGGCAGGGATGCTCGCCATGGCCACCCAAACACATGAAGAAGTGCAGAGACGAGGTTGAAAGTTCATTCAACAAACGTGGGATTTAGGTTTTGGGTTTTAGGGCGGCTGCAGCAACATGGACCTAGGCAAATCAATAGCCTGAGTGGTATTGGCAAATTATATGCATCTGAGTGATATCAATCAATATCCATGGTGTGAGTCATGGGTTTAGCCGTTTAGCGGGTTGCTTGTATGTATATATATATATATATAAGCCCTAAACCCTAAACCCTAAACCCCCAAGGTCTGAGTAGCGGCGAGGGGTCATGCCACAGGCAACGTAGGAATTTCTATGCTTCAGGGCGCTAGGTTGGGTCCTCCAGAACGCCCTCTCTCAATTGCATGCGGTCGGGCCGACCCTAAACTTACTGAAAGGCGCAGTTCTTGGGCCCATTTCATTTATGCAAACTCTATACTTGTGCTGGAAATCGCAATGGTAGATCCTCGCCGCAGAGTTCTTGGCTGCAGCTGTTCCTGAGAGCATCCATGCTGGCCAAGATAATAACGTTACGAGAGCAGACGGTTCAGCATTTGTGTTTCACGGGTTTGGGTGTTATTTTGGTTAATGGTTCACGCTGTAGGGATTGGGGTTCAGGATTTGGATTGTTGAGCTTGTAAAATTTTGGGGACAGGGTGCAGGCGTCCGCACTACACCAACCTGGCGCAACATCAGGGTTGGCTGTTGTAGGAGTCCCGCATACGGGCAGGGCCAGCATACTTGAAAGAAATCGGCACAGCTTTGTCCATGGCATGCCTCTTTCTAATACGTAACATCACGGACAGGAACAGAAGAATCACCACGAGTGCATGAATCGGCGCGTGTGAACAGCCCCCTGAAGCGTTAGTTGAAGGTTAGAAATATCGCTCACGCTACTCTGCAAAAGAGAGAATGGATTGCTATGGTAGTCTACACATGTAGTCACCATAATGACCTAAAAAAACAAGCAATAAGCCCGTTTCCTTGGCTTCAGCAGGAGTGCTAGACAAACGTGTCAGTCATAATAAGTAGACTCAGAGGCTTGGACTCATGGGAATAACTCCGAATACCCTGTTGGGCACACCCCTCTCTGAGGGACACCCCAGTCCATATCGGAGAGTATTAACAACGTTTTTGAACGCCCCCCTAACATCGAAATCGCCAGCTTCTCAACTCTAGCAATGTTGTTCCAGCCACTGGTGGCAAATGCAGCAGCGCCAGCGCCGGTTTGCCAATCCCGGAATTTGTATCTTCCCACTCCGCTGCAAGAGCGGGCACCTGAAAGTATGCATGGAGCAGGTTAGCTTGAATCAAGGTGGTCAGTCCCAGCAACAACTTGGGCGGAGTGCTGGATGCGTCTCTGTTATGGCTTCATCAATGCGGGTAATGGCCGTTTTACGTCCGTGTATTGTATCTCTGTACGCCACCAGACTACTCGCTGTGGCTGGAAGCACCATGTGGAAGTTTGCGAAGCAATCTGCGAACAGCATATCCTGTTTGGAGATTTTTTTGCCAAGATGGCACAAGTACTCGTGTAATTTTCCGTGAGACAATAGTTTCTGTGCAACTATCTATCGGATATCTATCGCCCTAAATATTGCCCTGTGGCTGGGTGGGGCCGTGCCCAACTAGGTACACAACATTTGGGGATGGTCCTAAATTACTGTCAATACGGGGTCCTATAGTTGGGTTCCTATTATAATACGGGGCCCTATATAAATGTCCCCCATTTTGGGAACCGTGATTTAGGGAAACTTCCATTTGTTGAACCTTTTGGACAACCCCATGGTCATGAGGTCTTTGCCTTTGGGAAGTCTTGCCCAACTCTTGTGTGAGGGTTTAGGGTTTAGGGTTGAAATCCCATGTAAACACCTATGCCTGCGAAAGTTGGTGGCCCCCGTAGCCCCGAGTCCTAAACCCTGAATCCTAGATTGTGAATCCTAAAGCCCAAACTCTGAACCCTTCAAATCCTAAACCTAAACCATCCTAAACTACCCTAAACTCCCAAGCCTAAACCCCAAACCCTAAACCAAAACCCTGAACCCTTAGCCCAT